GGGGAGAAGCTGGGCGCAGTGCAGCAAGCTGGCCTGGTGTGAAACTGCTGCCACACACGGTCCACAGAGCTCACCCCCACAGAGCCATTGCCTCTGGGTTGGGGAGGACTGGTTCTTAGTTTTGCTTCCTGGAGTCAGAAACACAAGCTCTGCACTTCTGTGAGGCAGGTACATGATTGCCTGCAGCACTCAAATGGTCTTGGATGTTTGGGAAAAGCCACTAAAAAGCAAAGAGGATCAGATACCACAGAGAACACAAACTCTAAGTGAAGTTAACATAGGGCACTAAAGACATTTGCCCCTGGCAGCTAGCTGGCCCTCCTTCTTTCCCCAAGGGACTGACCAACCATCTCTGACCTCTGCCACTAGTTGCCCTGTGGCTAGGGAGGGATGGGGTCTGAGAGGTGCCCCTAGAACAGTTTCCTCATACTTACGTTGACCTGCCCCACCCCCCTCTTCTCCAGGCCTCAACCCCTCTTCAAGGTGTGTACAGCCTCCATCACAGCTTCTGACCTCTTTTCGCACCACTCCCCGACATGTCCCTTGCCTAGTGCTCTTGGGCACTCTGCTCACCCCACCTTTCCATAGTGTTGTGAGTTGATTTGTGTCCCTACAAGACCATCTGTTGAAATCCTCACCATTGGTACCTATGAATGTGATTGGGAAATAGAGTCCTTGCAGACATAAGCAACTTAAAATGAGATCATAGTGGGTAAGAATGGGCCTCAATTCAATGATTGGTGTCTTTACAAGATGAAGGAAATGTGGACAGACACAAAAGGGAGGGGACCATGTAATGAGAGGCTGGAATTAGAGTGACACTGTCACAAGCCAAAGAACACCAAGAATTTGTGTGCCACCACCAGGGGCTAGGAAGGCAAGGAGAGATCTGTTCTTCCTAGCCCTACCCTCACCAGAGCCTTCAAAGAGAGCATGGCCCTTCTGCCACCTTGACTTTTTTAGCCTTAGAAATGTGGCACAATGAATTTCTGCTGTTTTGAGTCCCCTAGTTTGTGGTATTTTTGTCAGGGCAAACCTAGAAGCTAATGCTATCTGACCAACTTGCCACTTGCCATAGATCTATCTGTCTATCTATCTATCCATCTATCTAGTGGGATTGGGGTTTGAATTCAGGTCTTCTCCCTTGCAAAGCAGGCACCCTACCACTAGAGTCAGACTCCAGTGCATTTTGCTCTGGAGATGGGGTCTTGAGAACTATTTGTCTAACCTTGAACTGCGATCCTCCTGATCTCAGCCTCCCAAGTAGCTAGGAGTACAGGCATGAGTCACCAGCCCCTGGCTCAACATTACTTTATGTGTCCACTTCTTTAGCTCTTGCCTGAGTCCTGCCCTGTGCTATGGTCACTTCTGTGACTGTTTCATCTCCCACATGAAACTCCCACCCATGTAAATGTTTCATTTCAGGAAGGCCACATCCCAAATTCTCTCTGAGCCTCTGACTAGGGCTTTGGGCCTGTTCTGTAGGTCACATGAGGTCTGGATACATGCATGAACTCTCTTGGTCTCCTTACTGCAGAGCTCACAGACAGCAGTGTATGTGAGGGTGTGCATGGAGCTGGATTAGATTTTTGTTCACATCACTCTCCATTTAAGACTTGTTGCTCCTCCATTTAAGACTTTAATTTGCTCCTAATTTCCCATATGCAGAAAGTCTAGATTTCTCAGCAAGTTCTGCAGTAAAGCCTTTCTTTTCTTTTTTTCTGTGGTACTTGGGCTCAAACTCAGGGCCTCGCGCTTGTAAGCAGCCACTCTACTTGAGTCACTTCACCAGCCAGTAAAGCCTTTCTAGATGTGCTAGCCTGCATTTGTAGCCCCACCTCCCTACATCCTCCCCTGAATTCTCTAATGCATTTCCCCCCAATAAGCCAAAAACTATTTTCCTCAATGGTCTTTTTTTTTTTTTTCTTTTGCCTCCCAGGTGAGCACCAGTGCACTTGGCCCTAAGAACACCTTCACCTTCACCTGTCCTTCAAAAGCACCAAAATAATACTGCAGCTGCTTACCCAACAGCGTAATTCATTTTACGTATAGTAAGTGGCTCTTAGCCTCATAATAAGTGAGGCCTTATTTTGCCCATTTTACAAACAAGGAAACAGGCTCGCAGAGGTTGAGCAAGGTACTCAAGATCAATTAGTACATGCTAATCACAACGCAGAAGATGCTCTTGCTTCAAAGCCTGCCATCATCCTCTTCTATCTGACTGGCTTCCTGCATCTTTCACAGTGCAGTTTTCCAATTACCTGCCTGGGCTATCTCAATTTATCTCTGCTCTTTGTGGCCACCCTGAGCAGGCTGCGTCTGGGTTGCACTAGTAAAGATTGACACTGAGCACAGAGTAACTGCAGACTTGATCCCTTGTCACCTTCTAAGACTGCATGTGTTGGAGGACAGGAATCCTGAAACCAGCAACACACGACAGCACATCATAGGTGCTAACATTAAGCAATGGTTTGGAAAAGCCAGCAGAATGAAAAACTTAGAAGAAACCCCTTTCCCAGGGGTATAAATTTAGGAATATTCTGTGCTCTTGACATCAGGGAGCTCTTTCCAATCTTTCCTAGGAATTCTCACACTCACTGTGAAACAGTCCCCATCCTTCCTGGTTGGACCTTCTGAGTTGTATGTATAGTACAGAGCACTTGATCTTATCTGTTCTGGTGCTAGTTCAAGGAAATGCTTGCTGTGCTTGCATCTTTTGGAATCAGACCTGGTTCAGTTACTTACTAGCTTGTGAACCTGGACAAGTTGTATAACCTTAAACAGGAGACAACTGACCTGAGAGTTGATCTGAGGACTGAAAGCACCTTGGGAGATGGTGTTACCATTGCTCTTGTTTTACAGACTGAGAAATTAAGACAGGAAGGTGAAAGATCTTTCCACCATGGTGGGGAGAAGAGGAGGGGATGGGAAGGCCTATGGGGTTGGGCAAGTGACGTCTGATGCCCGGAGCCAGGCCATCGACCCCAGATCCTGTGCTGCTTCCACCATGCCACGAGTCACAGAACCATGAGGCTTGACACTGGATTTCCCTCACTCCTCAGCGAGGCACCCCAGAATCCTCCCACAGTAGGTTTCTGAGAGGTGAGTCCTCAGCAAACACCAGCAACAGATCTGAGTTGCCTTGACTGGTTCCGGTGGGTAATTCAATGTTTATAGCTGGCTGTACTCCAAAGGTTCCAACTATCTTAAAGTACTTCAGTTCCATCCATACATATGGGGCCATTTGTGCACCTGGAGAGAGCTCCCATAAGGCCAGGCCTTCTCTTGGAAAGAGTGGAGGCTTCTGTTGGTAAACCCCTTTCTTGGGATTGGAGAGGGTGGGAGGAAGGACAGAAATGGAAAGGGGATGGGGGTATTGAACTAGGGATGGCCTGTGGGGCAGCTGCCTCCAAGGAGTTGTTCCATCTTTCCTAGCAACTGCAACTCCTCCAGCCCCTTTCTCTCACCATTAGATCAGGGGGGGCCAACAGAGATAGAGGACACAGAAACGAAAGGGTTGGCCGCTCTGCAGTCTGCTCACTAGGGGGCACCCACGGCCACAGTCTGCCTCCTAACCTGGGTAGGAAGGAAATGTCAGCCAGCAGGTGGCAGTGCCCCTCTAGGACCCAAGGAAGAAAAAAAGTGCAGGTACCCAGAGGAAGGAAGAAAATAAATCCCTCTCCCTAAAGACTCAGTTGGCAATCTCCCTGTTCTGCCTGAATGAGAGATAATCATACCATCATGTGAGGAGAAAGCAGCGTTACCTGGCTTCTTCACAACCCTCAGGGCAGGTATCTATTCATCATTGCATCCTAGTGCTAGTACAGATTAAAAAAAAAATCTTGCAGTACTGGGGATCGAACGCAGTTCCTTGCATATGTTAGGCAAAAGGTCTATCACTGAACTATATCCAGCCCAGTGCAGCTTTTAAAAACAACTGAGAATACAAACAGATGCTATCCAAGCTAAAAGGAAGTATATTCTCCAAGGGTTGTTTTGGTTTTGTTTTTAACTCAGTGAACAGTTCCCTTGGTTCTTTAGATAAGAAAAAACGAGCTTCAATTGAACAAAGTTAGGTCAGACACGAGTAACCTGACCAAAAGAGTGAATGAATGCAGCCTTTGTTGAACATATACATGAAGTCTTTGTACCAGAGATGGAAAAATCTGTTTTTCTGGGAGTGGGGCAGCTGGTGGCATTTGTGGAAAGGTGGAAATCTTCAGGAGGCACAACCAAGAATAGGTAGTCCCCTGGGGCCTGATTTAGCCTAAGGACACCAGAAGGGTTGTCTCATGGGGTCTGCTCTACCTACCCATCAGGGTACTCCTGCACCCCATCACCACAGTAGGGTACCAGAGAAGATAGGAATATAGATTTTAATCATTGTGCTGCTGCTATTAACCAGAGTGCAGTTAATCCATCCTTTGTGGATTTTGATGCCACAGTGTAAATGAGAAGCTTTCACACAGGAACACTCTGGGGGCCACTGGAGACAAAGGATGAGGCCTTTGATGGGAGGGAGTGGCAGAAGGCAAAATGCAGAGAGATGTGGTGAGCAGATACAGAACTCTGAGTCTGCTCCTTTCCCATCACTACATGACCAGCAAGGACCCTGAGAGGAAGGGTTTTTCCTGCCAAGGCTTGGACTGGCCATGTGAGAGCCACCGCCCCGCCCCTACCTTCCCTCCAAGGCTTCCTTCCCCACGCAGCTGCTTCAAGTCCAGTTCCTGCCTAGTAGATGAGGTCCAGGGCAGGCCCACAGCTGAACGGATGTAGAACAAAGGAGGGACAAAGGCTTTGGGACTCCCTCACCCTCCATTTCAAGTCCTAAGAGACCCCCAAGCTAGTTCAGAGCTGGAGGACAACAGGAGCCCTCCTTTGGGTAGGAACTACCCCTCCCGACCTCCTGGAGGAGGGGGAGAGGTGGAACTCCCCGGGGATGAGGGGGGGACTATCCTTGTGCCTTTCTGTGCTACAGGACAGCTCAGCTACAAGTGGGGCTTTTCTGGGACTTAGTGTTTAGGAGTGGAAGAAGGTCACTGAAAGCCCCAGGGCCTGACCCTGCTAATAGGAGCTGCCATCCTGGGAAGGAGTCCAAACTGCTTTGATAAGACCATTCCTCATGTCAAGAGAGGAGTGATACAGTCCAGGGCAAAGGTGCAGGGCTGGCACAGCTAGGAGTCAGAGACACACAGGGCCTCCACAGCGTCACTCAGACCCTGGGTAACACCCCCCACAGCAAGGAGGCAGTTCTTGATGACAATGCTGGAGCAGGCACAGCGGGGCGTGGGCATGGCCGGGAGGACCTCCCATCTGTTCTTCCCTGGGTGGAATGCTTCTGCTGTCTCCAGAACAGTGGGCTGGTTCCCTAGAAGCACCAAGACAATCGGAGGTTACACAGCAGTCCAGCCACCTCACATACCTCACAGTCACCCTCCCCTCAGGACCCACAAGCAAAAGCTGAGCAACTCCAATGTCCTTAACTACAACATCGCTCCTCTTCCTGGTCCTGGGCCAGTGGCTCTTGTCAAGCAACCCCTTTGCTCCTTCTTCATACCTTTGATCTTCCATCTTCTTAAGAGTAAGCTTTTTGTCCCCATCCCTGGTTTTTATCAGAGGCTTCTTGAGCCCAACTGTCTCCCTGTTATTTTCACATACAATAGAGCTATCCCTGTTGTCCAGGTCACATGGTCTTTCAAGCATGAATAAAGTGAGGTGTGTACACAAAGAGTAAAGTTGGGGTGTCTGGAAGCCCAGCTGTCCGTGGTGACATGGGGCTTTTCACTACTAGAGTCTCTCCTTCAAAATACCATTACTCTTTGGGAGGGTATTGCATCAAATCCAGAATTTATTTTATCAGAAGCTTTTCCTATCCCAAGACTGAGCTGGGTATCCAAGGCAACAAGAGGGCTCAGAGGGGGACGAGGCCAATGTCCTCTGCACTTTGTCTCCAAATATCTCCAGACATTTGTCTCTAAATATCTCCAGACAGGGCTCCAGGTGTCTGGACTCAGCACAGAGCTACACAGTTATCAGTATGTCCCTTATTCTCTCTGGGCCTCAGTATCCCTCCTATAAGAGGACAGAAAGAGCACATCTGGACCCACAGGTGGATAGGTAATGTCCAGACTGTGAGGAAGAGTGTTTTGAATCCTTCTTTTTTTTTTTTGGTGGCACCAGGGTTTGAATTCAGGGCCTCACGCTTGCTGGGAAGGCATTCTTACGGCTTAAGCCACTCCGCCAGCCCTTTTTCATGTTGGGTTTTTTCAAGATAGGGTCTTTCAAACTATGCGCAGAGCTGGTTTTGAATTAAGTTCCTCCTGATCTCTGCCTCCTGAGTAGCTAGGATTACAGGTGTGACCACCCAGCATCTGGAGAGTTTTTTGGATTCTTTGGGATAAAGTGGTGGGAAGTGGTGTACCAGGAGCAAAGGGCCAAAGATCCACCGAGCACCAAACCCACCACTCATTCCAGCCAGGAAGCTCCATCCTTACCAAGTCCTCCTGCCACTACGACCCGTCCACTTAGAGAGCCAGCCACGAAGTCTGCCCGCCGCTTCTTGAGGAAGAATGAGCGTTCCATCTTCAGCCATCCCCCTGAAGGCCATGAATAATGGCAGGAGAAAGAGAAGACAATGCTGACCACCCTTGCCACATAGACAAGTCCCAAATGACTTTCATCCTGGGCAGTAGCTCCTCAGCATTCATCCTTGTGTTCAGAGTGCACAGAGCACCCCCTGGGGTTTGAAATGACATCCTCTGCTACCTCCACTCTCTCTCACACTTGCTACAGTCTCAGACACCACAATCCCCACCAGGAAACCTCTGTTCTGCTTCAGTTCTCCCAGGCTATAACTGGGGAGGAGGCTGACAGAGCTGGTGAGTGCAGGAGTCAGAATCTCTCTGTTTCTCTACCAGTAAAGGAAGAATCCCTCCCTGACCTGGTCCTGCATGGACATTATCTGCAAGGAAAGAGACAGCTTTGATGAAAATAACTAGCCAGGCTAAAGGGAGACCTGTATAGGTGAAAGAATTTCAAAGTATCCCTGAGTGGAAAGGGGTACTGAGACTTTGGAGAGGCTTGCCAAGCTGGGTAAATGGCCCCAGAGAAGATGGTTGGGATGGGGAAAGTGGGAACCAGCCAGAAGGGAGACAAGTAGCCAGAGCTTCCATGAGGGAGCCCTGCGAGCAGGGCAAGGGCTGGTACCCAGCTCACCCTGTTCCATGTCAAATACATCCATTGTCCGCAGGAACTTGGGCTGCCGGTAGAGACGACCTTGCCGCAAGCCTCCCAGGCTGTACAGGTGGTTGTCCAGAGTCACAAAGCTGGAGAAGGCCCGCTTACAGGGGATGTTGGGGAACTTGGTCCAGGAGCGAGTCTCAATGTCAAAGACCTCGAAGGCATTGACGGCATACTTGGACTGTCGTCCCCCTGCAGGCCAGAGCAGAGTGCAGGGTGGGCAGAAGAGAATTCTCTGCAGTCAGGGCTGGGCTCCCCTTCTGACTGTTACCCAGTCATACAAAAGCTCCCCGAGGGAGGGTGATTATCCCCCAGCCAAGGAGATGCTCAGCCCACAGGCACCGCATCCCAGGGAACTGACCCAAGGGAGGGAGAAAGTGCAACAGGTAACCCATCCTTACCCAGCACATAGATCTTGGTGCCTCGGAGGAATGAGGTGGCAGCATATCTTGGGGTGGGCATGGGTGCTAAGGACACCCACATGTCCTTCAGCATGTCATAGTGTTGGAGGTGGTTGTGTGGACGGAGATCCAGGCCCATCCCGCCTGCTGCGTACACTCGGTAATCTAAAGAGAAAAGTCACGTACACCCTGGCTTAGCTCAGAGGCTTTAGAGGCAGGCCCACCAGCACCCACCGCCCATCATGGTCAACTTCCCAGTCACTGTTTTTGCCAGACGGACCATAGTTATGTCGGTGTGGATGGCACTACTCAAAGTCCCTGTTGTGGCTAAGTCTGGGTCTTCCTGAAGCCATGATAGGACTGTGTGCCTTAGCCTTCCCTCACATGCAGTCCTTACAAAGCCTAAGACACAAAGTCCTGCCCAAAGGACAGCGGTGAAGTCTAGGCCTGGAAGACCCCTTGCGGGTCTTGTGCCTCCACTGTGCTCTCTCTTCAGGGAAGCTGGTGGGGAAGTCAACATGGAAAGATGTTCTTCTGATATCCTCTAGCAACTGCCTGTTCCCCAGGTGCTCCCAGACTGGCATTTTCCAGGGGTCTTTAGAAATGCAGTCAGCCCCACTGTCACTAGCCTGCTGGGACACTGAACTGCTTCTGGTTTTTGTCTGCCACCTCCATGGGAGAGGACCATCCTCCTTTGTAAGTGAGATGGATGTGGAATCCAGGAGGCACCTGCGCTGAAGGGGGTTGGGCCAGGGCTGAATGAGGGTGAGGCTTTGGAGGAGACCTGGCCCCTTTATGAAGCGCTGCTCTGAGTAGGGAGTGCCCTCCATTTCACCACTGCTCTTGACTGCAGGTGGCCTTTCAAGGACTTCTCTGACACACTGCACCAGAGAGGATGGGAAGGGCAAAGCATTTATGTTTCTTAGGGCCTGACTCCACACCTCCTAGGCCTATAAAGAACACCCCCGCCCAGCCCACATAGACACCCCTGCTTGGATTCTGTCAGTGGCCAGTCCTCACAGCTTCTACTTTGAGACCCCTTTACTCTCTGAGGTTACTGTAGGAAGGGATGAGGATCGAGTACTATTTCCTCCTACTTTCTAATCTTAATGGGAAAAAAAAAAAATCCTAGCCTTACCTAAGGCTGAGAATGGGTCTGATAATGAGTAAATCACTCCCTACCAGAAACACCTCCTCCTGGGAGTCCTCCATCTACTCCACACTCCTACAGCACTTCTCTGTTCAATTTTGACTCATTCCTCTCAGATTCACCTGGGTGTCCCTGAACCAGAACACTGGGCCCAGAACAATAGCGTGGTGCCTCCTGCGAGATGGCACCTCCATTGCCCTGCTCCATCACTCTGCTTGTCATGTTACTGACATCATCTTGTTCTGTTTCTCTCAATAGGTGATGGGTCCCTTAGCATCTGTTAAGCTGTAGTCCCAGAATGTGGGACAATGTAAGTGTTTCTTAACCTAACTGTTGAACCTATTTGATGCCACGGTTAGGAGTACAGACTTGATCATCACTTACTAGCTGTGTGACCTTGGGCCAATGACTTAACCTTTCTGGGTCTCACACTGCTGCTTTCTACAATGAGGATAAAAGTAGCACTTATCTCACTGGGCGAGTTGTGAGGATCAAAGGGGATAAAGGGTGAACTGTAAAGACTTAACCTTTCAGCACCATTTATTGAGGACTGAGAATGAATGGAGGGCACTGGGAAAGACTCCAGGCCTTCCATCCTTATTACAGGGAGGTTATAGACACCCCACTAACTGCTCTGTCTAGGGGATTGTGGACTACAGCTTCTCTCTGGTCACCTTCAATGGTCAGACCCTAGCTTCTGAAGCTGAGGACCAGGTCTTCTGCCTCTTTTCTTTTTCCTGGGGGTCTAGGACTTGCTAGGGGCAGAGCAGGTGGTTTGTGATCTACCACAGGCCTGACCCGAAGCCAGGATGAGAGGGAAGGAAGGACAGGAAAAAGGGGAGGGACCACTCCTTATTGCAAGCCTATGCTGCCCAGGTAAATGTGTGTGAACCTAGGGTCTTCTAACTCCTATTGGACCACTTCCCATGAACCTATGTTTTAGCAAAAGAGCTTTTGGACACTTCCCCTCCCCACCTCCAGACCAGTTGTATTACATCCAAAAAGAATGAAATGAGGGGTGTTGCGAATGTGAAATGAAGCATCTTAAAACTACACAGTCAGCACACCATGCTTGAGAACTTAGTGAACCTTTGAGTAATAGGCCAAAGGAGCACACCTTCTGGAACATTCTGATCTCCACTTAGCACCTCTGAGCCTAGGGTGGGGGGTAGAGGAGAGGGTAGAGAGTCCTGGAATTAGTCCCAAAGCCCCAGGAGGTAGAGTCCAGTGATGGTGCAAGGATGGAGTGAACATCCTCAGGACCCTAAATAGATGTTTGGATGTGGTGGCATCTGCAGACAGGCTTCAGGGGACAGGATGTGACCAATGGGAAGTGTGGTCATTTGCTGAATGGGGCTGGAGTCTACAGACACATTGCATCTAACCCTACAGTCCAGACCTTGACTCTCCCCTCTGGCAGTGGTCTGCCCAGCTAGTTGGGAGGAGCCTGCTGGTGTGGACTGCTGGCATGGGATGGAATTCCTAGACACTTTCATGGCTGGACCTGCATTTTCCCATCTGTAAAATAAGGGCAGTGGGTCTCCAGTTTTAGTGTCTGTTGTGGGATCAGGAACGTGGTAGTGAGCCCTCAAGTCAGTGCTGGTTCCTATCCATTTCTCTCTGCGTCCCTGCCCACCCTCAGCCCTGGCCCCACTTGCCTTTGGCCGTGACAGAAATGCCCATGGCAGCCTCACGCAGCATGCTCCTCTTCTTCCACTTGCCCTCATCAATACTGTACATCTCCACGACTTTCAGGGGCAGCTGATTGGTGCCCACACCCCCGATCACCATGATCCGTTTCCCTAGGGCGGTGACAGCCACCCCGGCCCGGGCTGTGGGCAGGGGGGGCAGGGCAGTCCACTGGTCGGCCTCGGGGGAGTAGACCTCAAAGCAATCCATGGGGACGCCATTGTCGTCACATCCCCCGATGGCATAGACCTGTCCCCCGGTCTCCAGCAGGGAGCAGTAGACCCGGCGGCTGGGCAGTGGCGCCAGGCGCTTCCACTGGAAGTCTTTGACATTAGGCACCTCCATGGCAACCCCAAGGGCCCTGCCCGCCGCGCCCCCGCGCAGCGCCAGGCGGAGTTCGAGCCGGGGGTTCTGTCTGCTACTCCGCGCCGGTCCCCGCGTCCCCTCTCGCCGCCTCCATCTCGCTCCGGTGAGCCGGCTCCCGCCCGACGCCGGCCAGCGCCTCACTGTCCCTTACAAGTCTCAGCGGTCCGGCGGCGTCCACGCCTGGCCCTGCGGGAGGAACAGGGCGAATGAAGGGCAGTGGGGACCACGCGTCCCCGCGCCCGGCGAACGCACGAGCGGGCCCCGCAGCCCCTCTGCAACTTTAAAGGCAGACACGGCGACCGAGGGCGCCACTCCGCGGCTGCACCCCTCCCGGAGCCGCTTTGTCCTCCGCCCCCTCCCCGCCCGCTGCGTGGAAACCGCCTGAGCGCGCAGGAGGAGGGGTTCAGGGCGGGGATCTCAGGGGCTCCCAGCGCTGGGCTGCCCCCCGACGAAGGAAGGGGCGAGCATCCATCGGCGTCGATGCCTCCCTCCCCGCAATCTCGGCGCCTGCATCCCGGTGCCACTTACCCTGCCAGGCCAGAGCCGCGCGACGCGCAGACAGCTCATTCCCCGGGCGCCCCGAGCCCTAGTCCCGCGGCGCGAGGAGCGGGGGAGAGGGCGCTCTGTCCTTCCCCAGCCCGCACACCGCTGTCACACATGCAGGGAACAAATGAGCAGCAAGAAGGAGTAGCGGAGCCACCAGCTGGGAGAAGGCCGGCGAGCCCGCTCCACGCACAGCACAGCCTCACCCGCAGCCGCCACACCTGTGCAGGAATCCGCGGGCGCCCCGTGGCCGTGACCTCTTTTACATATGCTTGGGGAGCGTGGGGCCGCGGGGGGAGGGAACGGCCCTGGCCGAGGTGGGGGGTAGGGGGGACGCTCACCTTGTCTACAGGGCTAAGGGAAAAGGGAAACGAGGGGATGGGGGGGCACTAGAGCCAAGTACCCAGATGATGGGGACCAGGCTCCCTCCAGCGTGGGGGCGGGCGTTTGTGAGTGTTTGTTTTGGGTGAGGAGGCGGAGAGTCCAATTACCCAGTTTGTCTACAGTACACAGACCCAGTTCGTGACAGGCTGGCTTTGCTTTGGGGGAGGATTATCACATGCTTTAACCTCATAGAAGCAAGTTATGTGGGAGTGACACATGCAGATTGGCACAGGTGAATTAAAACATAACCTGCACATGTGTGTATATAACTTAGCCATCACCTTCTCTGCCTCCCTGTGTAGACACCGAGCAACTGACAAATACATGGATATGTGGACACACAGCCAGAGACACCAACACAGATAAACATACAGGAAGTCTCTCCACACCATCACCATCTTTGCACATCTCAGAAAGCAAATCTCAGATAGCAAATCTTGGTTCTGGGTACCAACCCACAGGGCTGGACTGATAATTCTTTCAAACCACACTCCAACAAACTTTTGCCCCCAGTAATACAGGCTCCTATGATGCAGCAGACCACCTGGTCTAGTCCTATAAGGCCCATATGGCCTTCGTTCTACCTGGTTCCCTTCAGTAGAGCTATACCTTGAAACACCCAGGCCTGAGAGCCTGACAGACCTGGGTTGGAATCTTGGCTGTGAAAATTATTTAACAAGTCTGAGTCTCAGTTTCCTTTATGTATTATTTTCCACTAGACTTACTGTTTTGAGTTAAATTTTAGATTCACGTGTCGTTTTAAGAAATACCTGTTTTCCTCCAATGGTAACATCTCACAAAACTATAGAAGAATCCTCAACCAGGGAATTGAAGTTGACCAGTCAAGATACAGAAGGTTTTCATCACCAAAAGGGTCCGTTGCACCCTTTTATACTGGACCTACTTCCCCCCTCTCCTTCTTTTCCAGCTCTTGGCAACCAGTAATATGTTCTACATTTCCAAAATCTCATCACTTCAAGACTGTTATACAAATAGAATTGTACTGTTATACAAATAGAAAAGTATGGAATCTTTCCAGGTAAGTATTGGAGTCAGCTTCATATAGGGCAACGTTAGTAGGATTGGTAGCTTGCTAGAGTGAAGCATAGGTTCGACGTACCGATATTAAGGGGCCCATTCAACCAAACACCAAAAACACAAACAACACCCCGCCACATAACCACACCACCAACTATCGCCTGCATG